ATTTTGTTAAATATTCTGTTGCAATGATAATATATTTGTTTCCTTGTTTAGTTTCTGGTAAGGGTCCTACAATATCTATTCCAATTATATCAAAGGGCTGATTTACTACTATTGGGTGTAAAAGATTGGTTTTTAGAGGTTTTCTCTTTTTTGATAGGCATCACATACTTGTATGTATTCTCTAATATGTTTTTGCATTCTTGGCCAAAAGTATTTCTTTGCAATTGCTGTGTATGTTTTGTCAAAAAAAATGTCTTGCACTAGGATCAAAGTACATTTGGTAAAGAACTGCATCTATTTTATTAATTTTAATATACAAAGAGGTGTAGAATTATTAGGAGAAAGTTTTTTAAATAATAAATTGTTTTAAATAAAATAAGAAGTAGCCTTTTGTTTAATGCTAAACTTTTGTGAAGAAGATAAATTAGATAAAAAATTAAAGAGTTTGAAAATAATTATAAATAAGGTTATAGGTAAAGATATCCATAATAAAATATAAGTATAATAAATAGTAATATATATAATAATAATATAAATAAGAAAGAATTGTTTTGATTTAGAGTTTAGATTTGTTAAAGGAGTTTGGATAGACTATCAGCATTTTTATATATTTTTTCTGCTCTATATTGTATAGAAAAATTGTAACCTTGAAGTTTTATAATCCAACATACAAGTATTTTGTTAGATTAGCAATTTTAAATAAAGAGTACAATACAGAATAATCAGTAATAATTGTAAATTGTTGTCTATGTAGATAAGGATAAAAGTGTTTGATTGACTATACAATAGCTAGATATTCTAGTTCTGTTGCAGAATAATTTTGTTCAGGTTTGTTTAAAGTTCTGGAGATATACGCTATAGCATATTCTTTGTTATCATCCTCTATTTGTGATAGTACTACTTCAAAAGCTATAGTCAATGTATTTGTATAGAGTAAAAATTCTTTGTAGAAATTTGAAAATATAAGAATAGGGGCTAAGTTTTTTTTTTAGAGTTTCAAATGATTTTTGTTGTTCTTCTTTCCATTCTAGTTTAATATTTTTCTTGAGAAGTTGGTTCATTGGAGCTGCTATTTTTGAAAAGTTGGCAATAAATTTTCTATAATAAGAAGCAAATCCAAGAAAAGCTCATATTTGGGCAATAGTTTTAGATACAGGATAATTTTTAACCTTTTTTATTTTTGCTAGATCAGGTAAAATTCTATTTTTACTAATTATATATCTAAAAAAGCTAATTCTTGTTTAATAAAGAAGCATTTTTCAGGTTGAAGTTTGAGGTTTGCTTTTCTAATATATTCAAATACAAGATGGAAATGTTGGATATGTTTATCGAAAGTTTTAGAAAAAATATTGATATCATCTAAATATACTACAACAAATTTTTAAAAATATTCTTGTAGTATATTGTTCATTAAGTATTAAAATATAGCTGGGCATTGGTTAATCCAAAAAGCATTATTTTAAATTTATATAGCCCATGTCAAGTAGTAAATGCAGTTTTGGATACATCTTGAGGAGCCATGGCTACTTGTTAGTAACCACTTGCTAGATTTAGAGAAGTAAACTATTCAGATTCTTGTAATATATCTAAAAGTTCATCAATTCTTGGTAGAGGGTAACTGCATTTTTAGTTACTACATTTAGTTTTCTATAATCTACACAAAAATATAGTTTTCTATTTTTCTTTTTAACAATAACAACTGGAAAGCCCAAGGACTTTTGGAAGGCTGAACAAGGTCTAGTTTTAATATTTTTTAAATTTTTTCTTTAATAAAATCTGATTCTTTAGGGAAGGTTCGATAAAATTGTTGTTTTATAGATTTATTATTTTTAACTTCAATCTCATATTAGATTTTATTAGTTCTTTCTAAATCAGAATCATTTGAGCGAAGATATTAATATATTCATTAACAAGGTCATAGAATTTTTCTTGTTATTTTTTATCTAATTCTCCAATATTAAGTTTAGGAGGAGGGTTAAAAGAATCTTCTATTTTATCTTCATAGAAAGTTGGTAAAATTTCTTGAATTTCATTCTATTCTTCATTAGTTTTTGTATGACAATAGGGATACATCTGCTTTAAATTTTCTTTTTCAATTTCTTGCCACAGATTAAGAGTATAGATTCTTTTTTTCAAGTTGTTTATCTTTATATTTAGTAGATTTATCAAATTCACTTGAGGATTCATATTCACTTTCACTTTTATCAGAGCTTTTTTCTTTTGTTTTTCCTTTGAATATAGTTTCAACTCCTGGAATTCTAGTAACATATCTAAATTTAATAGGAACTTGAATTTTTATATCTTTATTTTTAATCTTTATTACTGATTTTTTCTAGTTAATTTTTGCTTTAGCTTTGAATAACCAGTTATTACTAACAATTACAAAGTATATATCTGTATTTGCAACTACTACATCAATTGGTAAAGAATATTTTTCAATTTTAATAGATAAGTTTTCTGCTTCTCCAAGAGGTTTTTTATTTTTACTATTTATATTTAACATTAGAGTTGTTGATAGTTTAGTAATTTTTAGACCAATACATTTAAGAAAATGATTAGAGATAATACTTCTAGCAGAACTACATCAAAAATAATATTGGTAGTAACTCTATTGACATTTGCTTAACAGTAGTTCTAAATTTTCTATCATCAGCATATTGAGCAGTAACTATAGGTTTAGGAGCAGATTTGATCTTTTTTTTTTGAAGTTCTCTTAGGTATTTAGGATTTTTAGCAGCCAGTTGGGCAATAGAAATATTTGCTTTGATTTGTTGTAAGTTTTGAACAATTGAATAGTTTTGTACATCTTTACCAATTGTTGGTTTATGAAATCTTGTACCTTGTAGAGGATTTCTTTTCTTTTTGGCTTTAGGTGTTTTAGAACTTTCTGCTTGAGGGTCATTTACTACAATATTTTGGACTTCTGGAGTTTTATTTTCTTCTACTACTTTCTTTCTTTTTCTAACATATGCTTTATTAATATTATTTTTACTTCTTCTTTTAAATAGATCATAGAAGGGTTTGTATTGTTTTGAGAAGTATCAGGACCTTCTGTATTCACTGATGCTAATTCAAATTTAAATATTGTAAGAGAGCAGCTAATTGTTGTGTAAGTTGATTATTATTATTATTATTTTTATTAGAAATATTTTGTAGTTGATTGTTATTATTTTGAACAGAGTTTGAATGGTTGTTATTCCTGGGTTGATTATTTCTAGTTTGATTATTATTATTTGGTTGAGAATTATTTTGTTGGTTATTATTATTTCTTGGATTAGGACAATACTATGCAATATATCCAGGTTAAAAATAATTAAAACAAACAGACCCTCTTTGATTGTTATTGTTATTATTATTATTATTATTTGGGTTGTTTCTTCTAGGATGGTTGTTGTTTTTTAATTTCTTTTCAATTTTCTTTTCAAGATTTTCATATATTTAGTGAGAGCTTCCATTATAATTTCAACAGAATTAGAAGATGTAGGAGTTGGAGTAATAATATTATTGTTAAGATTAGGAGTAATATATATTGCAGCACCATAGTGAGTAAGTTCACAGGTTTTTGTTCTATTAACTACTCTATTTCAAGTATTTTCACCAAATAGACATACTGCTATTTGTAATTCTGTTCTTAAACTAGTAGTAAATTTATGAACTTTTTTTATTTCTGAGTAAACATTGGCATTTGTTTCTAATTGACAATATAATTCATGTAAACACATAGCATATTGGTCTACAGTTTCAGATGGCCCTTGTATACAGTAAGTTAGTTCAGTAGCCCAAATATCAATAAGAACAGGAGTACAAAATTGGTTAAGGAATCAAGGTTTAAAACTATCAACTTGATTTGGTGTATCCCAGTGTCCAAATGCTAGTTATTGGCTAGCATTATTATACCAGATTGCTGCTTCATTTTTGAGATAAGCAGGAATAATTTGTAATCTTTTTGCATCAATAAAGTTGTTAGCTACAGCCATTTATTCAAATTTTTTAATCCAAGTAACTGGATCTTGATTACCATCAGCAAAAGATATAATTTTGATAAGTTTGGTTTCTCTTTGTTCAAGATGATTAGTGTTATTTGTAACAGTATTTGTTTGATTTTGAATCTGGTTATCTAGTGCTTGGATAGTAGCGATTAAATTGTTAATATCTTGTGCTTTTTGTAATGCTATATTATTATTTGGAGGTAATAATGATGGGGTAATAGGAGAAAAAGGTATAGAAGTTTGATATAATTGTTCTAAATCAAATTCAGATAAGTTAAAAGTTTCAAAGTTTCAAATTCTACTTTACTATGATTATAAAGAATTAAAAAGAGATCTAAAGTAAATCAATTTGTTCGAAGATAAGCAGTATAGATTTGAGTAGATAAAGAATCAAATACTAAAGGGTTAAGCTTTGTTGAAATTGAACAGTAAAGATAAGATTTTCAAAATGTTTTAAAAATAAACTATCAATATCGTATTCACTAATATCTTGAAAAACTAAAATAGTGTAATCAGAATACTAAATAACAGAGAATTCTGCAAAGAACCAAGTCCAAAAATTAACAAAAAGAATAATTTGTAATTTTTTTGCATCAGTAAAGTTGTTAGCTACAGCCATTCGTTCAGATTTTTCAATCCAAGTAACTAGATCTTGATTACCAACAGCAAAAGGTATAATTTTGATAAGTTTGGTTTCTCTTTGTTCAAGACGATTAGTATTATTTGTAACAGCATTTGTTTGATTTTAAATTTGGTTATCTAGTACTTGGATAGCAGTAATTAAATTAATATCTTGTGCTTGTAATGCTATATTATTATTTGGGGTAATAATAGTGGGTAATAGAGGAAAAGGTACAGAAGTTTGATATAATTGTTCTAAATTAAATTCAGATAAGTTAGAAGTTTCAAAGTTTCAGATTCTACTTTACTATGATTATAAAGAATTAAAAAGAGATCTAAAGTAAATTAATTTGTTCGAAAGTAAGCAGTATAGATTTGAGTAGGTAAAGAATCAAATACTAAAGGGGTTAAGCTTTGTTGATATTGAATAGTAAAGATAAGATTTTCAAAATATTTTAAAAATAAACTATCAATATCGTATTCACTAATATCTTGAAAAACTAAAATAGTATAATCAGAATACTGAATAACAAAAAATTTCGCAAAAAACCAAGTCTAAAAATTAACAAAAGAAATATCTATTTCTGTGTTTATAGGGTAACAAATAGAACAAGAATAATCAGGAAGATGTCAGATTAAATAATCAAAAGTATCTGGATTTAATATGTGTTTGTTGTGAAATCTATCATGCAAATTATTTCTTTGCTAAAATAGGTTAAGATTATTAATCATTTAATAGTTAATTGAAGTTAAAGTATTTACAAAAGAAATTAAAGTGATGTTAGTTAAATATGAAATAAAAGAAGATAAATATATTTGAATAAGAAGATAGAATAGAAAATAAAGTATGTTTATAAGTAAAATAAAGATAAATAAAGAAAAAATAAGTGGGGTGTAGTGACATAGCGAAGTGGTCAAGTTGTTACCCCCCAAGTGGCAGGTCAAGAGTTCGAATCTCACCAGTAACGAAAATTTAAAAATTCTGCTTGTATTATGGCTAACTGTATTTAATGATCAGTTGAGATGGATACTTGTAACTATAGTCGCACTAGCAAGACTAGGAGGTCTGGGGCATTTATGTAATATAAGGTTACACAAAGAAATACAAACTGATAATAGGGCAGTGCAAACACAAGATAAGCCCCAGGCTATATAAATCTGAAGAACTATGAATACAGAAGCTTACTTGGCAAGTCCCAAGTAGAAGGATAGCACAGATCTTTGACGAAGCTACTGTAAGGGTTAGATCCAAGAAACAGAACCCATGTGAACTGAACTAGATGAAATACGGGGTGTTAGAGAAGGTACCCATAGCAACCAGGCTACTACAAATAGGAAAGAGGACCGAGAATCTAGCTAGAGAGCCTCTGCAATTGCAGGTAAATCTTGGCGATGGTAGGAGACCTACTAGCCACCCTTTGGGGGTACCGCCTAGGCGCAGAGAAAAAGTATATAGTTACCAGGCTATCTAGCTTGGAAGTCGAGAACCAGGTTGGGGCCTCTGCTATCGACAAATAGGTGAAATCACTAATACCAACTAGACTGCTGTCGAATTAGAGGAAAATAAGTGATTACATACTGGGCTATCTAGATTAGAAGTCTGGGTAAAGGGAGCTAGGTTACTAAAGTACCGGAGATATACTGTAAAGTAAGTTCTGGGGTTTGAGTGAACTCTACAAGGGCAGAAGTAGGTTTGGATAGCGAAGTTCAGCCAAACTGGGGTTAAATCGTAGAAAGGAAGCAAGAAAAAGTTTAAGCTAGGGAAAAAACCATAGGCAAGAACCTTGACCTGGTACCACATACACTTCCAGAATAGATAAAACTGAGCTGCAAGTGGTGGGCCACAGCCTGTGTGTACCAAACTGAAGTGCAGACTAGGTGCAGTATAAAGTAGTAATACTGCGGGCTCTGCTAGATTTAACTCAAGGATAAAGTAGTCCTAAGTTATCATGTGAATGTACGCTAGGGAGACTGGTTCATAGAACTAGAAGAATAGTTGCTGATTGACATAGGTATTGGAGTATATAGGTGCAGAAGGTTTATAAATAGGTGCTCAAAAGGTGCAGGTATGACTAGATGTACCTCCAAATATGTATAACATATTCAAAATCAATAAAGCACACTTGACCAAGAGGTTATCTTAATACCAAAATAAAAATAAAAATAAAAATATAAGTAATAAGAATAAGAATTAAGATAGAAGATAAAAAGATAGAAGAGAAATATAGAAAAGAAAATATAATATGAAGAGATATAATAAAAGAAAACTAAATAATAGAATAGTAGAGAAAAATATCCTTTTCAAATATTATATTTCTACCAGAAGGCACTAAATATTATTGCTCTATTTTTATATAACTAGACTCAAGGTGAAGTCTAGCAGAAAAGAGAAATAACTAGCAGTTTGACTTTTATATAACTAAAGCAGAGTAATATTTAAAAGAGTAGAACTTTAATAACAGAAAACAAATAAAGTGGAGTATAACTTTATTAGATTCAAGAAAGTCCAAACTCAGTTCAAGCAATGCAGTGAACACTATTAGATTTAGGAAATCCAAACCTTATATACTCTAAGAATAACAATAAAGAAAATAACAAGAAAACTCAAAGGAAATGACAATTTCCAAGAAGACAATAGTTTATTATTATTAACAATTAAATTACAAGAACTTATTCAAAGTTATGTTGAGAGAGAGAAAAAGTGAGGCTATTTATAATATTTTGGGACTATGTAGATATTAATCTAATATCTATCTATCATGTGATGCACATAGGATTATATGGTATATCACATATTACATTTAATTTAAATTTGGTTATACTAATTAGTAAGTTCTAAAACATTTATCAAAAATTGCTAATTACTAAAAATTTTACTATACTAATCGATCTAGTTTACTAATACAAAAATGTTCTATGACCCAAAATAAAGGGGTTTACTAATACACAATAACAGGGTTTTGTATTAGTTTTTGAGATATTGGCTTCTGAATATAAACATTTCCTATATTCATTCATTAATTGCTTAATAATATATATAATATAAATAAAAATAAAGATAATACTTATGATAATATATAATAAGAATATAATAATAAAATATAATAATATATGATAAAATATAGAAAAAGAAAAGAAAAGAGAATAACATTAAAAATCAACAAAATTTTGGGTACTACAATAGCATTTCAAATTAATAATAAATTATGTTTTGAGAATATGAGCTGTGTAAATAAAACAAAAAATAAACATATAAAAATCAAATTTTAAATGATATTTACAAGCAAAAGAAAATGCCATAAAATCTAAATAGTTTGAATATATATATAGTTTATGAAAAACCTATAGATATTGAGAGAAAAAGCAATATGAATATGGTATACTAAAAGGATTACTTAAACAAATTTATCCAGTCAAGTATTGTGACAGATTATAATGAAATCTAGATTAAAATAAAATTATAATATAAAATCTTAAAAAGTAATTTTTTTTGGAGTGCATTTTTTAGAGATAGAAGTTAGAGTTAGAGGTTAGTTTTTAAGTAAAATTATAATAAACAAGTATAAGTAGATTTTAGAAAATTATCAGATTGAGTTAAAAATATAGATTTCATTTTAAATTATAATCTGCAACAAGTATTGATCTCATTTGTTATATCCTTATCAAAAAATTATTGCCAAGACCCAAGACATATAGCATACTAGGACCCCGAAATATATATAGATAGGTTAGATTAGAGTTTGCTTATTTTTAGCCTTTTTTGTACAGATTATTTCTATTTATAGTAATTAGTTTGCTTATTTTTGCCTTTTCTTACAGATCTTTCTATATTTAGTAATTTTTGTAAAACCTTACCCCTCTATACATATTTCAGGGTTCTAGTATACTTACAACTATAATATAGAATACTTTATATAAGGCCACTTCAAATTGATTCTTCATTTAACATAATATAAATATTTTGTAAGAAAGGGAGGAGGGGTAAAAAAATCAACAATAAACCAAAAAAATAGCAATTCTATTGGTTGAACAAAATATAAAAATTTTTAAAAGCAGATACTACAATTTGATTAGTTAAACTAGTATTTATTTTATATCTAAAATTTTAAAAAATAAAGAGGGTTATGTTAAATGAAGAATCAAATTGGTATGGCCTAACTAAATAAAACTACAAATTTATAGTCAAATAGACCAATTACACACCAACAATTCTTGTCCACCATTAGGGTAGGCTGTTTACAAACTCAAAATTTTTAATACACTATATATCAACTATAGTATATCTCCTAATTACATTTTATTTATCACAATCTAGATGAGTCTTTGACTACTCTAGTAAGTTTAGATCACAGATAAAGTAGTCTGAGCTTTTATTCTTGTATGTAGTTTT